AATGGTGGTCAGGGCGTGGTTCTGAGGGCTTTAAAAGAAGAGGAGAGTCTGTCTTTCTCTCTTCTCTTTCTGCTTCCACCTTCTTGCAGTGTGAGACCCTAGGTCACTGTCACCACCACCAAGTGGACTTTGGACTTCCCAGCCTCAGAAACTGTAAGCAACGAATGTCATTTTCTTTATAAATCACCCAGTTCCAAGTATTTTGTTATAAGCAACACAAAATGGACTAATACATGCCTCATATGGAATATTTTTTCTCTTGTTCCTTACTAAACATAGAGAGACTGATAAAACTGACTCCAGTGCTTCAGAGTGCATGTGTTTGAATTGCACCACAGTGATTTTTTATTTGCTTTCTCAACCAGTGGACACATTTTGTGACTAAAAAACTCTATGTAATGACACGAGCATTTGGATCTGTAGCCTTTGGGAGCATCTGAAATATGTCTCCAAACACTTCGGTGAAGACTTGCAGACAGCAATCCTCAGAAATCTGAGTATCGCTCCCTTAAGAAAAACCAGGCCTGCCCTTTACTCCAGGCCCTAAATACGCCATTTCCCGGCGTCCCTCGCGGTGCATCTTCACCTTTTCTCCAGGAATTCTGTGCGGAGCGCCCTTCTCCGCAGGCTGCAGATCTGAGGGAACTACACTACCCAGAATGGCCTGCATCGGGCAACAAAGAGGATGAGCCAATGAGGTCTCACGAAAGTGGTGTTTCCGTAAGTCGACGGAAGGTCGAGGCGGGACTTCCGGCGTGTCTGGTGCTGGTCATCCGGGCGCTCCTTGAGCTGGAGGGAGTCTCCCGGGCGCTGGGTTGTAACCAAGGTGATTGCACCGAGAAGGCGTGAGAGGAGTCGTCGTTCCCTCTGCACAGAGGCGGGTCTGAAGATTGGTGAGTGGCGGGCCCCAGTGGGCGCGATCCCGGCCCCATGGGACCGCCGCTCCCGGCCCCGCCTCTCCCGGTCCCACCTTTTTCTCGGCCCCGCTCCACCCACAGAGTCCGATGGCGGTGGCCTCGCAGAGGGAACCGTCTCAGGTAAATTCTGCGACCTCTAGGCCTAACCCATCCTCGTCCCTACCCTAATTCTAAAGCCCTAGTAAGGGGCACCTGCTCACGTCCCTGCAGCCCAGGCCCAGTGTCCCGGCCCTCGTGGGTGGGTCCGTGTTTCTGACACCCAGTGTGATGGGGTGTAGGAGAGTGTGACAAGCAGAGGGACAGTTGATGAGGCGACGCTGAGCACTGAGGCACAGAGGTTAAACAGCCAGACCGAGGTCACCAAGTTCCAGGGCCAGGCAGGGGTACAGGGAGGCATGAACCTATCTAATACTGTCATGGATTCTTTCTTCGAAGCCCTGCCTCTTTCCACGTTCCCATGACTGTAAAACGGGTTGTGAAACCTATCTATATAAGGAAGTGGAGGGTTTCTCAGTCCCTCATGGGCCTCGACCCCCACCCCCATGAGTTGTGGTGTCCTGAGACTCTTAAGTGCTATTTCCCCAGTCCTTGGTTCTGAGGACCCTGGAAAAACCCCAAGCCCAGGGTCTACAGTCCATGTCAGCCTTTGTATAGAGGTATTCCCATTTCTGGCACCCGGTGTAAACAGGTGTGGAAGGTTATCCCGGAAAGGTACAAGAGATGAAATGCTTAGGGGTAATGCTGAGTTGGGAGTATTTAGGAAACCACAGGTCTCCTTGCTTTCTGGTGGGAACATAGATTAGGGAGATAG